AGAAGGCTGGTGGTTCAAACCCACCAGCCACTCCTCAGAAGGAAGATGGGGCAATCTACTTCCGTAGTGATACTGCCTCAGAAACCCAAGAAGGGGTTGATTCAACAGCACATAACAACAACACAAACTTTAGGGAAGTAGATGGCCATATTTTTCTCCTGTACAGCGATTGGTGGGTTCAAACTGCCAAGCTTTCAGGTAACAACTGTGCACTCAACCACTGTACCAGTTTGAAGCAGGGACTCAGATTCATGGACAAAGTACAGTGAAAACTGTAAGAGCCAGGACTGCCTTGTTTTTCCAGGTTTTGCAAGTTTTCTGCCTTTGGAAACTTTTCTATCCCTGTTTATTAGTGGAAAATATTTGAGTTTTTCTTCTCTGACAGTTTCCCCATTATACTGGTTCCAGCTTTTGAAGATTTTACTGTATATGAAATTAGCTTAGAGCAATGGTCACAAACTGGGAATCTGAATGCCAAATCCAGGCAACAAGCATTTTTATTTGGTCTACATTATATTTAAACTTTTTAAAAAATTAGTTGCTAACATTTAAAAATCATTATTTCACATAAAAATAAAGATCTGGCAACACTGGGCCTGTATATGACTTGCTAATAACTAAACCAGTTGCCATTGAGTCAACTTTGACTCATGGCAACTCCATGTATCAGAGTAGCACTGCATTCCATAGCGCTTTCAATGGCTGCGATCTTTCAGAAGTAGATCATAAGAACTTTCGTCCAGTGCACTGCCAGGTGGATTCAAACCACCAGTCTTTCAGTTAGTAGCCTAGTGTTTAACTACTTGCACTGCCCAATAACTACCTATTGTCATCAAGTTGATTTCAAGTCACAGCAACCCTATAGGGTGGAGTAAAATTGCACTATAGGGTTTGCAAGATGTAATCTTTATAGAAGCAGACTACCAAATCTTTCTCCTGCAGAAAGCTGGTGGGTTTGAATTGACAACCTTTCAATTAGCAGCGTGGTGCTTCACCACTGTGCCACTAGGGCTCTCTGTCTGATAATAAATAGCTAGTGTAAAATAGCTGCTAGGTCCTTCAGTTCCCCACAATCTGCACCCAAATCCACTTCGTTCATTTAACAGAACCTAATTACCCTCTGTGAGGGGCCCTGGTGGCACAAACGGTTAAGTGCTGGGCTGTCAACATAACAGCTGGCAGTCTGAACCCACCCAGCAGCTCCGTGGGAGAAAGATGTGGCAGTCTGCTTCTATAAAGATTTGTCAAGAAAATCTTATGGGGCAAGTTTTACTCTGTAGCATGGATCACTATTGATCAAAATGAACTCTAAGGCACCCAATAATATTTAGCTACTATAGGAATCTGAGTATGTAACATCTCCCTCAAAGGGATGCCATCAAGTCAATTCCAACTCATAGTTACCCTATAGTACAGTGTGAAACTGCCCCACAGGGGTTCCTGTGCTATAATCTTTAGGGAAGCAGACTGACACATTTTTCTATAGAGTGACTGGTAGGTTCGAACTGCCAGGCTTTCAGTTAACAGCTGAGCACTTAACCACTGCGCCAGTTTGAAACAGGGAATCAGATTCATGGACAACGAACAGTGAAAACTGTGAGAGCTGAGATTTCATTTTGACAGATGAAGATGTCGAGGAGAGAATTCAAGACTATGGAAAGAGCACATGGGAAAGTTCAATTAAGGCCTGAGGTATGACAGTATGGGATATGGACAGATATCAACCAAAACCCATTGTCATCAAGTAAATTCCAACTCATAGTGATGCTATCAGGACAGAGTAGAACTGCCCCATAGAGTTTCCAAGGCTGTATATCTTTACAGAAGCAGACTGCCTCATCTTTCTCCCACACAGAGGCTGGTAGGTTCGAACCAAGAACCTTTTGATTATCAGAGAAGTGCTTTTAACCACTGTGCCACCAGAGCTCCAGACAGATACCAATAGTAGTTAATACAGCAGAGAGAAAGATGGTGGGGAGGCACCAAGCTAGAATGGACTACAACATGGAGCCTACTATATGCATACATGATACACCTAGATTACTGTATACATCCTCAAAACACATTAGGAAAAAAAAAAAAATCCAGATACAACTAGCCATAGACATATAAACTAGCTCTGAAATACTCATTTAACTCACATGCAAGGAGCCCTGGTCGTTTAGTGGTGGCTGATAACCAAAAGGTTGGTGATCCAAACCCACCAGCCATTCAGCAGAAGAAAGGTAAGTCACTCTGCTGCTGTAAAAGTTTATAGCCTTGTAAACCTTATGGGGAAGTGCTACTCTGTCCTATAGAATGGCGATGAGTTGGAATCAACTTTATGGTAGTGGGTTAACTCACATGTAAACATTTTTTGCGTACTTATTATGTACTAAGCTCTGGAAATAGAGAACTAATTTAAGATACAATTTCTGCCATATTCACTCCAAGGGCCTAACAGAAAAGATTACACAGTTCTCCCAAAAGTTAAATCACTGTTTTGAACAGTTCAATAAATAGGTTATTTATAAAAACAAAACCAAAAAACCTCCTTTTCACTCCCCTTAAGCTCTCTTACTGATGAAGATTAAAGATTGCAGATTAAAGATTATAGTCTGTAATAAGGATTACACCTCAACATAAAGAAAATGTTGCTACTGTACCAATAAGTAGTATCACGACAAATGGAAAAAAGTTTGAAGTTGTCAAAGATTTCATTTTACTTGGATCCACAAACAACACTCATGGAAGTCAAGAGATCAAACGTTGTCGTATTGCACTGGGCAAATCTGCTGCGAAAGACCTATTTGAAGTGTTAAG